TTTTGACAATAGCTATTCTGAATTCATTTTCACTTAGTTTACCTATTTCCAAGTCCTCGGGATATGATTCTGTGTTTTTATTGTTTTCCTTTTGGTCTGGAGCTTTTATAAATTGCTGGATGGTAGAGGAGTGGTTTTGCGCATTATGCTATTATTCGGTTGCAGTTACAGCCTGTCGCCACTGCATGGGGGTTGAGAGCAGTACTGAGCCCTCCGTCTTCAGCCGCAATGGCTGCAGCCAGCATGGGTTGGGGGAGGAGGGGCACCTTCTCTTGCCCACAGACCTGGATTCTGATCAGCTCTCACTCTCTGCTTTCCCAGGGCCCTGGATTGATGGGGTCAAAAGCTTTCCCTGGTTAGAGGTTTTCCCTTGGCAGGGTCTGTGGGAATCCTGGACGATCTCCTGGAATGCAGCCCCTCCCCCGCTCCTTCCCTCACCCACGGAAGCAATCCCAGTCTCTAAGGGAGGGAGCGAAGTTCTCTCTTACCCCATTCCAGCTCCTCCAAGGGGGGCTCCTGCCTCTCCAACCTCCGTCATTTGGCTGCTCTGGGTCTCTGACAATCTCTGTGTTATTAGGATATTTTGGTTGGAAAGCAGTTGCTCCTTTTTGTTGTAATTTGGAGGGGACAGTCCCAGGTGAGCTCACTCTGCCATGTTGCTGACATCGCTCCTTCATAGTAAATCTGCTCTTGGATTTCTTTTTTTTTTTTTTGAAGATTTTTATTTTTTTCCTTTTTCTCCCCAAAGCTCCCCAGGACGTAGTTGTATATTCTTAGTTGTGGGTCCTTCTAGTTGTGGCATGTGGGATGCCACCTCAGCATGGCTTGATGAGCAGTGCCATGTGCGCGCCCAGGATCCGAACCAACGAAACACACGAACTTAACCACTCAGCCACGGGGCCATCCCCTGCTCTTGGATTTCTTATTCTCATCTTCTAAGAATTCCCCACACTGGGCTCCTGTGCATTATGAGAAAGACATTTTCGATGAGTTGCCTTCTGTTTTATCATTGCCGTTTTGGGGACAGGATTAATACTCTACATTCGTGAGACCAGACATCAGGACTATGTTGCCACATGCATTAAGTTAGTACAAAAGTTTATTACTCCAAAATGCTTTCTAAAGAGAGTAGGGCAAGAGAAAGCTTCTTCATGTGGCTTGTGCAAAGGACAATAGGCTGGCATTTTAAGGTGTGTAGGTTTAGAGGCTTCATATTTTAAAGGTCTGAGCTTCCTATCTTCAGACATAAAAAGCAAAGGCTCACGTGTCAACCTTCACAACTTGTTTAACATTCTGGGCCTGACAGGGTGAGCAGGTGTCTACAGCTGATTGACAGTCAAATATCAAACCTGAGGTCAGTGTCTTATTAGTGTTCACTCCTGAGGTTGGTTGACTGAATGATACCACTACTTATACAAATACATTTGGTTTGAATATTAATTAAACATCCATGTGCAAAGCGCAGACAACATAGTGTATTTAAGATGACAAAGGCTCAAAAAAATTCGAATCATCATCCAAATGTGTGGAGGGATCCAGAAAAGTGTAACTATGGTTCCAGAACTGTGTTCAAATACTTAAGTGATATTATTATTTTAATCTGTTGTCTCATTTGTTGTGTTATTGCTTCCTACCCATATACCACAGGCAGGCATGTTAGAGGAAGAGAGCTCTCCCCAGATGGGTAGTAAATACTTTAAAGCCAACTGGTCAGCAGCTACCATGGCTGCCAGGGGCTTTTCCTTCAGGGAAAACATCTCAAACACGAGCTGTCTGCTACACGAATTTTGAGTGTTTGAGACATTTCTTGATTGGCTGATATGATGTTTGTTGAATGACTTCATGTCTTACCGGGTCAGTAGCAGTGACTCCCATGACAATGAGCACATGAGTGCAAATGGTAGGAAAACAGCACATCTGTATGTAATGAGCCAGAGGGGTTTTGAAGGAGGTGCCCCAAATGAAGTATTGACACACAGGGCACACAAACCACAGGCGATGTGAGGAGAAGACTTGGCAGTGGGATACGAGAGTGGTGGCCAGGGTGCACTGTTACAATAAACCAGAGACCTGTAGGTGCGACCGTTCTGGCAGGAATGTCTAGCAGGGAAAGGCCTCTACCTATCAGGTGCCACTGAGCCTGACGATGACAACAAAGCAATGAGCCCCGAAGACTGGGATTGAGTCTAATCAATGCCTGCAACAGCAGGAAGGCCCATTGAGAAGAAAGCAAATTGGCCTGAGGAGCCATTAGACCATCCTAGGAGGGGGATAGCCTGCGGTGGTAAAAGAGGTAAAATGTCCACTGAACAACTTATTCGAGAGCCCAGTGTTTCCTCTTTTCAGAATTGAGCTGATAGTATAAATAAATTTAGAGCATCTTGTCAAGTCCTTGCATTTTGGCTTCAGCAGGGTAACGTATGATGGCATGAGTAATTTGTCATTTCAAGTTCTACCAGGGTGTGCACACAGCAAGGAGCCCAGGGGATGGGGGGTGATAGGCCTACCAAGTCTATCTCTTGTCAGCTGTAGGGACCCCTTCCTCATCCTGGAAGGTATGCCCATTGATGATTACCACCAGTGACTTGCTTTTGCACATCAGCTTCACTGGTCCATCACTGGGTTAACCATGGCAGAGGAGGGATGTCACTTGAATTTTGCCTAAACTCTTACGTTAGAGGTCTGTATGTGGTTTCACATTATGTGGGACAATAAGGCCAAGGTTAATACCATCAGGTCTGAGGTGTTGATATGTGTGTCAGAAATTCAAGTTAATTTATCACCCTGAGCAATAAAAATCAGCCTCTGCAGATTGAGGTTTAATATGGGCAGAGTAAGGAGCAGCCAGATTTGTAGTTGGGTATTTGAGAGGCAAGATATTCCCAGAATTCTTTAAGACGTAGTGGGCAACCTTGGATAAGGGGTTGGTGCTATTGGTGGTACCAACAGCTAGATCATGGGTAAAGGCCCAGGATCTGTAAAAATGTACACACGGGTTGGATTCTGGGCTAAGAAAGTTTCTATTCCTAACATGACTGCTGTTTGACTGATCACTCTGAGGCTTCAGTCCATTCTCTGATCAAGGATGGCCTGTCTGATGTGGCGACAGAAGGCAGCATCATTGCAGTGGACTCTGTCGGGTGGGGTGGTGCACACTGTCCATAAAGTTTACAAACACCCTGGTCACCCATTTGCTCTTAAGTGACTCTCCAAGTGGGCAGTGTGTCTAAAATGGAAATGATCTCCTCAGAATGGATCACATCAGAGAAGAACAAAGCACTTCCGACTGTTCATGGGATATTCCAGAGGAGCAATGTTTGCCTCTATGCTTTAAATACCCATCTCTTCAATATGGAGGCTTTTGATTAGAAAGCCTGGGAGGGCCTGCATTCAGGACCAAAGGCAAAATGGGAAGCTGGCTTGGAGCATCATCCACTCAGGCCCTGGAAGGGACTCTATTTACATAAAGATTCTGTAAGTTGCCAGCAGTAGCTTCTCTTTTTGTGTGCACCACCCTGTGAAGAGAATAGTTCTGGTACAAGAATCCCTTGGGTAATTTATGTCCACCATGGGGGTTTAGAGACGCTTGGATGCTCAATGAGAGGCTGCTAAGGCATCTTTGAGAAGGACTGTGTGGAGGGGGACACTAATGGAATGTTATTTCAAACATTCCAGAGCCTTTTGTTTCCAAATTCAATGTAAGTCCATTTCTCAGTGTTGTGTGAATAAATGAGCAGATCTGATAAATTTGAGATGGCTGTGTCACTGTGGCTGACAGGATGCGCCCATGACATGGTTTCTACCACTGCTTCTGTCACCCTCTCAGCTCACAGCCCCCTCCTGTTGCCTCAGAGAAAATGTACAGTGAGACATGTGTGGATTTCTAAAGATTTTTCCAAGTAAGCAGGCACAGAGTAGGCTTGAGCTGGGAAATGAAGAGCTGGCAATGGTCTATGGATGGCACCGAAAACAACTGATGCTAATGCACATGGACGAGGATGTCCCCAGGCAGATTCTGCTTGGGATACTTTGTTCATGTTTCTGACCTCAGAATTTCCAAAGATTTGTCCACGAACCTGATTTAAACTCAAAGACAGCGTCTGGGAGCCCTCTCACTTCACTCTTAGTTATGAGTCTAAGCTGAGGGCAGGTGCAACCCTAGGGGGTGTTTCTCAAATAAGCCGGGGTTGCAAGAAAGGCCCGTTGAGGACTGAATCCATCTCTGGCCTGCAATCTTCCTAGGAAGGATCCCACAGTGGTGGAAAGGTTTGAACACGTAAAATTCCAGGTTCAGGAGAACTTGACATTCTTCCAATATGAAAGCAATTATAATATTCACTTTCTAATAATTACATATATAACACACATATAAAATACTTAAGTGCTCACGTGAGTTTTCAGAAATGTTAGGAATACTGCTATCAAAAGATAAAGAAATCCCATCACCTCAAAGGAACAATCCTGTGGTATGCATTTGATTGAAACCCCTCCAATTCATAAGTTCACACTTTGCTGTTTGTTCCCTTTGCTGTTTTAAACCTTGAAGCTGTTATTGCTCTTCCCCAATTTTCCACACCATGTGCTGGACATCTAAGCATACGGAAATGAAACCTGTCATCAGTCACCTGGGCTCCGGGGCTTTCTGGATCATTGAAATTAAAGACTTCCCGCCACTCCTGTGATGAAAAGATGTTGAAAATTTCCCATTTCTGCTCTTACACTCAATTAGGATGTTACTAAAAATCATACCTTCTCTCTCCAGCTCACTCAATTATTCCTGGGATGGTTGCCTCTAACCAGCCAGAGCTCTTTGTGCTGTTTCCACGGGGAGATCACAGCAGACTCACAGAGATGTCACTCTACCCATAGAACTCACTCAGGCTGAGCTAGAACAGTGCAGATGAAGGCAACTGTCTAAGTGGGAGGAACTCCCTGGTTTAATGGGGTGTATGCTGCACACTCCAGTCTGTAGAGCAGCAAAACGAAAATGCCAAATATGCTAACATGTTAAATATTTAATGGTAATATAAAAATCCTCTCAAATGACATTAAAAACAAAAGACAATACAAATATCTGGGGCTTAGATCAATAGGAAGTCTCAAGTCCCAGATAACAATAATGACATCCTCACTCACTCCTACCCTCACAGAAAAGATATAAACACACCTGAGCCTCCCTATTAGCTCAATGCTATTTTTTACTTTTCTTCAAAGGACTTAATTGTATTCTATAAGACAGAGCTTCACTGCATCCGTCACTTCTGCTTTTCCACAAACATGGAAGCACCAGGACTGCCAGAACTTGTCTGTTTCATGCTCTGTATCCAGATCCTACTGTGTCTCAGCTCTGCTACAGTGTGTACACTGACTCCACACTGCATGGCTTGTGAGGGACGGTGACGGTACCAGCAAGAGCACAGTCTCAGAGAAGGAAAGGCTTCAGAGTGGCACAGTGGTCCTATTTCCCTGGCTGGGTTTGCACTGTCTCACAATTTACCTAAACTCAAAGGCCTCAGCTGAGTCTAAAGGAGATATTGAAAATATTGTGTAGGATACATGATGGTTAATTTTTGGCTTAAAAATGCATGAGAAATTATTTTCATGACAAAAACTGTAACTGTAAAAGAATAAGAAATACAGTTTGCCTGATGAAGAAATCCCTGAATTGGTCTGCACATGATAAAATTGACTCAAAATGTATAATGATTAAATGAAGAACCTTGCAAAGTATATCTGAAAATCCATAATCAAAAATGGATATTATCATAGTCTGTAAAAATGAAATCCACAATAATATTAACACAGGATGGACTGGAACAGTTGATAAAACATATCAATGAAACAACTAGAGAAGTGTTCATTTCCCAAATAGATGGACATAGTTTTATTGACATATACTCAAACGTCACTGACAACACACCAAGGGAATACATTCAAGCTACACGTAACAAGAAACACACACAGTCTTCCCAACATGAGAAAGGTGATTGTTCTCACATGAAAAAACTGGGTCAAGGCAGCTGCTGCACAAGGCAGCAGAGAAACAAATTCAGAGGTTCTTCTTTTTATGTCCCATTGGAGATGCCATGGTGAAGCAGGAAAATGTGCTCACTAGCACTATGAACAGCAAAGGTGTTTCCTATACACATTAGACCTTATTTCATTATCATCAAGATAAAAGGGGAATCAGAGAGTACTCCCAACCACAAAGGTATGAATTAGCTTCCTGGTGGACACAAGAGGCCTTAGAGAAAGACCCTAACTCCAATGGATCTTTGATGTGAAACTGGTGGAAAATGCATCTCTAACAAAATGGAAATCAACTAATTCTTGGTGCTTTTCAAGATACTCTTGACAAGAAGGGCAAAGAATGCAAAAAAAAGGATGGAAGATGGTGTCCTTGAAGCTCCTATGGAACTCGCTGAGTGGTGGCTCGAAAATTGGCCTAAGGCTTTGTGTGCTTCTGCCTTCCAAATCTCATGCAAGTGAGGCCATTGGGGAATTCCAACAAGGAGCCAGCAATGGGGTGGATTCTTAAAGATCTAGCTCTTCAGATTACCCTCACTGACATAATGCAGTACAGGGGTGATGTGTCCAGCTCTAGATTTTGTTGCCTGCCACAGGCCTCTACTTAATTCAAAGTCTATTCACCCAATACCAGTCAGAAGGAAGGACAAACAGCAAAGGCCCAAATAGGAAAATAACAATTCACAGGAAGTACACTCTTGGATAAACTTGCCACACATAAATTGTTTCCCAACTGTTTAATAGTACACAAAATAAAAACAGCCTCCTCCACCCAACACCCCCAAAAAGGCGCTTTCTCTGAAACATGTACAATATGTACAATGGATGAGGAACATGCAGGAACTGTAATACAAGGCCAGTAAGAAAATCACAACAAATACAAACTGTCATGTTTCTATACCCCCTTAACACAGAACAATTAACACAGTATTAAAAAAACTAAAGATAAAAAACTAACTGATTTAAGAGAAATGAACTACCTATGAATCTTATTTACTATTTATGAAGGATGACTAGCAGAATCATCTCACCTCAATATTTATTTATGAAGTAATTTATAGAAATCCAGTCTAATCTTGCACTTTAAGTAGGGGTATTTATCAATACAATATATTTACCACTTTGATAACGACTCTTTCCTGTTGAAAGTTTTCTAGAACCTCACATACAAATTAATTTCCATGAAGCTTTGTCATATGACTTACATTTACGTTTCTTTTTGGTGGGAGTTTCACATAGAAGGGTGTAGGCCAACTGAAGTCTTTCTCATGCTCTGAACATTCAAGATGTTTTAATCCAGTGAGGCCTTTCATGCCTTCAAGAAAGAAGTGCAATGACAAAAGTCCCAAATTGTTTCTATCTACCTGGTTTTACCTCTAGTGTGCATTTGTTCATATCCTCAAAAGTTTGCATGAGAACTAAAGCCTTTCTCACTTTCCTCACATTCATAGGCTTTTTCTCCAGTGTGACTTCTTAAATGGACTAGAAGATATTTGGAAGCAGTGAAGACTATATTGCATTCTTTACATTCATAGGATTTCTCTCTAGTGTGAGTTCTTTCATGTTTTCGAAGATAACTGGAACAAGCGAATGCTTTACTGCATTGTTTACATTCATAGGATTTCTCTCCAGTGTGAGTTCTTTCATGTTTTCGAAGATAACTGGAACAAGTGAATGCTTTACTGCAGTTTTTACATTCATAGGGTTTCTCTCCTGTATGAGTTCTTTCATGTTTTGAAAGAGAACTCGTATAACTGAAGGCTTTACGACATATTTTACATTCAAAGGGTTTCTCTCCAGTGTGACTTCTTTCATGGACTCGAAGAGAACCTGAACAAGTGAATGCCTTACTGCATTTTTTACATTCATAGGGTTTCTCTCCAGTATGAGTTCTTTCATGAAGTCGAAGAGAACTGGAATAAGTGAATGCTTTACTGCATTTTTTACATTCATAGGGTTTCTCTCCAGTATGAGTTCTTTCATGAACTCGAAGAGAACCTGAACAAGTGAATGCTTTACTGCATTTTTTACATTCATAGGGTTTCTCTCCAGTATGAATTCTTTCATGTCTCTGAAGAGAACTGGAACAAGTGAATGCTTTACTGCATTTTTTACATTCATAGGGTTTCCCTCTTGTGTGCGTTCTGTCATGTTTTGAAAGAGAGGTGGTAGAACTGAAGGCTTTAAGACATATTTCACATTGATAGGGTTTGTCTCCAGTGTGAGTTCTTCCATGTATTTGAAGTGAACTGGAAGACGCAAATGCCTTACTGCATTTTTTACATTCATTCAGTTTCTCTACAGTATGAGTTCTTTCATGTCTTTGAAGTAAACTGAGATAAGTGAAGGCTTTCCCACATTCCTTACATTTATATGGCTTCTCTCCATATTTTTGATAGTCATATGTTTTACATTCAGTGTGACATCTAATGTGCGTTTTAAGGGATGAATGACGCGTGAAGGCTCTTCCACATGCACTGCATGCCCACGGTTTAGCTCCTGTAGTTATCTTGTTCAGACTCAGATTTGGAAGAAGGCTGACATTTTCTCCACACTGACTATCCTCTTCACTTTCACAGACTCTCCCTACCATATGCTCTCTGTAGAAATGAGAAGCATATTGTTAATGATTTCTCTATTAATGATTTTATATTTCCTATGTTTACTATGATTTATAGGAAATGTTTATGTTTTCTCCCTTCTGTGAATTCTCTGAAATTAAATATACTGAATTTTCTGAAAGAGGACTTCACCCTTCTTATTATCCAAACAGTGATATTCATAGATTGGGTTCACTAATACTATTTCTAAATGAAATATTCTGCAAAAAGTGAACCTCTACATCACACTTCAGAAAGTATATTTGGTGAAAATTTTCTAAGAATAGCTCAATTTGAAGCAAGCGTTATTTGTTTTGTTTGTTCTTTTTTAAAACAATTTCTTAACATACAAGGATTCTCACATGAGACAGAGCTTTCTACTGTGTGACTCACCTTACTTTTCTCCCCTGGTCTTTGTACTGATCTTGAAGATCACAATCTTCCCATGTTATTCCTGAAATGCAGACTCACAAAGTTTATTCCAAATATTAGAAATTAGACAAAAATTTCTAGATTCTAAGTCTATGCTAATCTACGGCCATTTCTACTTTATTTACTAACAACCTCCTCTTTCCACATTCTACATCTTAGAACACTGATGATGGGCAAGAACCACTTGTTCTTTCATTGATGACGTGAAGGAATGTCCTCATTCTTACCTACTGAGGCCAGGATCCTGAAGGTTTCCCACATAACATCTCTGTAGAGTTTCTTCTGTGAAGGATCCAATAAAGCCCACTCCTCTGGGGTGAAGTTCACAGCCACGTCCTCAATGGCCACTGAGTCCTAAAACATCACAAACATGTGTAGAGTAGGATACGTGAGCCTGACAGCACTGGGGATCTAGACTCCAATTCTGGGAAGGTTACATGGGATTATCTTATCTCCAAACATTCATTCTGTGTGTGATCATCAGAAACTCCCTTATTTCTGTACACAATGCTCATCAATTTAACAATATTATGAACACATGGAAATACACATTTTTACTGTGATCACATTCTATCCGATTTCTCTCGAATCACAAGTTCCAGAACATCTTGGGAAATGACAGAAATACTATACAAATGAAACAAATATCATTTGTGGACCAATGATTCTTTGTAAGAAAAGTTCTTTCATCTTCTTCCATATTACCCACCGGTTACAGCACTCCATGAGGCAGAGGCTGAAATCTACGTGATGTTTCAGTGAATAAAAACATAGTGAACAACTGGAAGCTCTTTGTTCTGGTCTCATCTCCAAACTGAGAGTCCAGGAGACCTGTGAAATCACACTTTCACCAAGCCCAGCTGCCCACATTGTCCTAAACTACTCCAGGCCATTACAGGTAATCACATGCAGCTGGCTGAATGTAAATATTGTTCTGGTGCAACAGTGTTTTTAACTTGTGTAGTATCTATCATAGTCTCAGTTCTACCTTTCTCAATCTGGATGATTTGATGGGGCCAGAATTATTATGAACTGAGAGCTCAGGCACAAGAAAGAAGTCATGAAAACTTAGACCATAAGATCACTAGATTTATGGGCCTCAAAGCTACTTCTCACCAATTTTAGAACACATTGTTAGGGGCTGGCCCAGTGGCGCAGAGGTTAAGTTCGCAAGTTCCGCTTCTTGGCAGCCCAGGTTTTGCCGGTTCGGATCCTGGGTGTGGACATGGCACCGCTTGGCAAGCCATGCTGTCGTAGGCGTCCCACATATAAAGTAGAGGAAGATGGGCATGGATGTCAGCTCAGGGCCAGTCTTCCTCAGCAAAAAAGAGGAGTACTGGCAGTACTTAGCTAATCTTCCTCAAAAAAAAAAAAACAACACCACATTGTGAGACAATAATGTGTCATAAAAGCTCTTTCTGGTCAAATGCTAACAGTGTACCCTGAGGTTTGCTCCCCTTGAGGGGTAGGTTAAGAGCTGAAGATTGTGGCCAGCCCCGTGGCCGAGTGGTTAAGTTCACGCACTCTATTTGGCGCCCCAGGGTTTCACGGGTTTGGATCCTGGGTGCAGACATGGCACCGCTCGTTAGGCCATGCTGAGGCGGCGTCCCACATAGCCCAACCAAAGGCACTCACCACTACAATATACAACTAGTACTGGGGGAATTGGAGGCGAAAAAAACCACAATTATATTGCCAACAGTTGTTAGCTCAGGTGCCTAACTTTAGAAAAAAAAAAAAAAAGAGCTGCAGATTGCAAGGGAGCTCCTTAAAGTCCACAATGGTTTGATGTTAAATCTGCCCATGATTATAAAACTCATGAAGGATTTAACAGTGGTTTCACCCAAAAGAACACAAAATTTCCTTTGTCCAACTTCAAGAGGAAGTGTTTCCTGAGCAGCCACTCTGGATAATGCCCTGCCGACTTCTGATCCTGCACCTAAGGAGCTTAGACGCTGTCATTCTTGATCTCACAAGAAAATGAACAAACTTGACATGGACAACCATTCTTAGATCGGGGAGAGCCTTGAGGTCATAGGACAAACCAGAGTCTCCAAACTTGGGAAAGACAAAAAAGAAAGATGGCGTTTTGAAATATGCCCCACATATTCTGTACTTAAGAAGACGTGTACTACAAAAAAAAAAAAATCTAATTCACCAGAGTCTAATGCAAGGGCAAAAATGACAAAAAAAAGACAGAACACAATTTCCACGAAGCCTAGGACAACCCTCTTTAAATGAAGGCTTAAAATACAGATAATGGGAATACCTGAAGGAAAAGAGACAGACAGAAGAAAACATGAATTAATAATCACCAAAATATCCTAAAATCAATGCTAGCCAGCATACTGTCCATCCAGGAAGCTCACGGAACACTAAACACAATAAAGTACAAAAGTGCACACCCAAGGGTATCACACTGAAACTAGAGACACATCACAGACAATATACTGAAAAATGCAAGAGAAGAAACACACCTTCGACAGAAAGAAACAAAGATTTGAATTAAATTGGACCACTTCTCAAAAACCATGCAACAAGAGCAGAGGAGACTGAAAGATTTAAAGTGTTGAAAATAAAACCCACTTTCCTAGAATTCGGTCAAGCAAAATTATCCTGCAGTACAAAGAAGAAATAAGGACTTTCTGAGACAAAATTTGAGGAAATTTGGCCCAAGTACACATACTTAGAATGAAATTGTTGGAAAGTTTATCAGAAAGAATGTAAATGATAAAGGTAGGGAATTAGAAGAAGAAAAAATGAGGGGACATATCTTTTCTGTTTCTTATAATTAATACAACAGATGACACTTTGTTTAAACTAATGTCAGGAAGAATGTATTTGGCAATGAGAAGCTTATGGACAAGAGAAATAAATGACAGCAATGTGACAAGACACAGGGAAAGGGAAATTGGGGACAGGGTGTTAAGAGGTACTTGCACACGGTGAAATGGCACAGTGTCACTTGGCGGGGGGGGGGGTTAGTTGTAAATGTACGCTAAAAACTCAAGGGCAACCACTAAAATGTGTATTTTAAAAAATGTGTAACTGATATGCTAAGAGAGGGGAAAAAGAGAATTACAGTAAATGCTCAATTTTAGCCAGAGAAAGTGGCAAAAAGACAAAAACAAGGGTAAAAATGGAAAAAGTAAAAATTTTGGTAAATATTAATCCAACTGAATCATTAACCACTTTAATCATCAATGGTCTCATTACAATGGAAAGACACAGTAATAGAGTTCAAAAAATACCACTGTATGCTGTATACAAGAAGCCCACTTTAAGCATAAAGTCAGAGAGAGATCAAAGGTAAAGGGATGGAGAAGAACAGACCATGCCAACACGAATCCAAAGGAAGGTGCCAGAGGAACAGACATCACAGACAATGCGGATTTCAAACTGAGGAAGATGCAGAGATAGAGGGGCAGTAGGTACGGATAAAGGGGCCTATTCTCTGAGAAGGCACAGCAACGCTGCATGTGTACCTGCCTAACAACAGAGGGGCAACACACCTCAGGGAGGAACTGACCGAATGCCGGAGAAAGAGACAGATCCAGTACCATAGCTGTAGAAGTCAACACCCCCTCAGCAGGAATTAGAAATTTCAGTAGGCAGGAAGTGAGGAAGGACAGAGGCACAATGCACAGCACTGCGAAACTGCTGGATTTCATTGTAATCTATGGAATACTTCACAGAACAGCAGAATATACATTCTTCTCAGGTTCACATGGAACATTCACCAGAACAAACCACACCCTGGGACATAAAGCACACCTTAACAAATATGAAAGAACAGAAATCATACAAAATAGGCTCTCACACCACATAGGCATTCCTCTAGAAGGCAATACCAGAAATAGTCGGAAAACCCCCTCATAGGCGGTGATTCAGAAATACACTTCTAAATACTACACAGTACCAAACTAGAAGTCTCAAGAAAAATGAAAAATTATTTTGAATTAAAAAAATGAATACACAACATAGCAAAGGTTCTTGGATGTAGCGAAAGCAGTATCCAGGGGGAAATTTATGCCATCAAACAAATACACTGGAAAAACCAACAATCTCTAATGACTAATGTAAGCTTCTACCTTAGCAAAGAATAAAAAGAAGAGCAAGTTAAAACCAAAGCAAGCACAATAAAAGAAATAATAAAATAAGATAGGAAACGAATGTCATTGTGGGAAATCAATGGAGAAAATGAAAAGAAAAAAGCTCCTTGTTTCACAAGACCAATAAAATTGAGAAATATCCAGTCAAGATAACAAAGAGAAGAGGGAAGACAGAAATTACTAGTTATCAAAAGGGAAAGGAGGGGAAATGAATATAAAATAAGATTTGATGCAATGCAACATCCATTTATGATAAACTAGTAACAGAGGAGAACTTCCACTTCTTGAGAAAGAACATCTTCACAAACCCTGTAGCTAAATTGATGGCGTTTGTTCCATATGATATGACTGTCTCTATGCAACAACTGGAAGTATTCACAATGACAGAAACGACTCCTGGGACTAATAAGAGAGTACAGCAAGTCTGCTTTCCTTCTAGACCCACACGAATAGAGTCAACTGATCTTTGACAAAGAAGGAAAGGAGATTCAAATGAAAAAGAAAGCATTTTAAACAAACAGTGGGAGAGATAGTGGATATCCACATGCAAATACACACGCACAAAACAAATGTAGACACAGGCCTTACACTTTTCATGAAAATTAAGTCAAAACACATCACAGATCTCAATGTAAAATGCCAAAGGAATAAACTCCTACAAGATAACACAGAAGAAAATCTGGATGACCTTGTGTTTGTTGATGAATTTTCACATAGAAAACCAAAAGCAAGGTCCACAAGAGAAAACACCAGAAATTTTACAATTTTATGTAAAACAAAAAACTCCTCCTCTGAGAAAGATGGTGTAAAGAGAAGATCAACACCATTCAGAGTCAGAGAAAATCTCTGTGAAACATTTGTTGGATAAATGATTGCTATCTGAAATATGCAAAGACTTCTTAAACCGTAATAGTCAGAGGAGAAAAATGTAATTAAAAATGGGCAAAAGATCTGCAGCCAGCTCACCAAAGAAGAGATCTAGATGGGAAATAAGCAATATGAACCATGCTCCACATCAAATGTCATTAGGAAACTGCAAAGAAAACAACAATGGGGATCACTAAACACTTATTAAGTGGGTAAAAGTCAAAATATTCAGAACAGCAAGTATCAGTGAAGATGCAAAGCTACAGGGAATCCTAGTTCATCGCGGGTGGAAACGGGATTTGGAACACCCACACTGCAAGACAGGAACCTTCTTTCAGAATAAAATACACTGTCACTACATAGAGTAAGAGCCAG